AGGTCCTGGGTGAGGAACCAGACAAAATGCGGCTCACTAGACCCCTTATGGTAAGAAAAACATTGGATCCACGATTTCCCTTGCCCGGACGCGGGTCACCGGGTCCCCCCCCCCCCACCTGGAGCCAAGCCTGGGGATGGGGCTCGATGGCGAGCGCCAGGTGGCCAGGCCTGCACCCATGGGGCCTGGTCGGGCAAAGCCCAAAGAAGGCACGTGGGTCCCCCCTCCAATGGGCTCACCACCCGTAGGAGGGGTCATAGGGGTCGGGTGCAGTGTGAGGTAGATGGTCAGTGGCCGAAGGAGGGGACCTTGGATCCTCGGCTGCAGAAGCTAGCTCTAGGGACATGGAATGTCACCTCTCTGATGGGGAAGGAACCTGAGCTGGTGCACGAGGTGGTGAAGTTCTGACTAGACATAGTCGGGCTCACCTCGACACACGGCTTGGGCTCTGGAAGGGGGGTTGGACCCTCTTCCATTCTGGAGTTGCTCACGGGGAGAGGTGCCGGGCAGGGGTGGGCATACTTTTTGCCTTCAGGTGGGGGGATGGGTCCTGACTGTTGTTTGCGCTTACGAGCCAAGTGGCAGTTCAGAATACCCACCCTTTTTGGAGTCCTTGGAAGGGGTGTTGGAGAGCACTCCTCCTGGGGACTCTCTTGTTCTGCTGGGGGACTTCAATGCTCATGTGGGCAATAACAGTGAGACCTGGAGGGGCGTGATTGGGAGGGACGCCCCCCCCCACCAATTTGAACCCGAGTGGTGTTTTGTCCATAATGAACACCATGTTCAAGCATAAGGGTGTCCATACTGTATGTGCACCTGGCATCAGGACACCCGAGGCCGCAGTTCGATGATCAGCTTTGTAGTTGTGTCATCGGACTTGCGGCCGCATGTCTTGGACACTCTGGTGAGAGAGGGGCGGAGCTGTCAACTGATCACTACCTGGTGGTGGGTTGGCTCCGCTGGTAGAGTTTGACGAGGCCATGGAAAACGACTTCCGGACGGCTTTGAGGAGATTCTGGTCCACCATCTGCCGTCTCAGGGCAGGAAAGCAGTGCAGCATCAACACTGTTTATGGTGGGGATGGGGCACTGCTGATCTCAACTCCGGACGTTTTGGGTTGGTGGAGGGAATACTTTGAAGACCTCAATCCCACTGACACGCCTTCCAACGAGGAAGCAGGGTCTGGGGACTTGGGGGTGGACTCCCCTTTCTCTGGGGCGGATGTCGCT